AGAGAGTGATCTGTGTTTATGCCTGGTTCCCCTTAAATTTTACTTTTCTGGCATAGATAGGCTGAGTTTTATTCCAAGTGTTATGGGAATATCATTACCCAACCTTCTTTAGCATATTAATGAAAGAAATATGAAGGGAGGAAAAAAAAAAAGTTCCACTGCTCTGAAAAATACTGATATCATAATAGTCTACTGTCACATGAATTTAATAATATGATAGTATTGTTCAAGTTCACCTTCAACCCTTACATTCAATGAAGGAGAACAGTATACGGATCTAGGTTAGGAATAAGCATTAAGTATTTCCCTGGCTGTTGAAGATCAGTCTTTGTATGCATATTTTACAGGGGTTACAGGAACTGAAGGTGTATTTTATAAATATTCATTCACAAGAATTTATTTATCTGCATTTTCTCATTTTCTGTATAGAGGTATTTACTTGATACTCAGTTCAGAAGGACACATTTACTGGTTTAATCTATCTGTGTGTTCCAAAACAAATGTGCAGATACAGACAAAATTAATTTATCATGGCTTTCATAAAGTGGACAGCTAAGATAGATATGTATCTCTATGTCTATAAATGACGAGTAAATCGGAAGTAGTGGCTTTTTGCCAAATATCTGTATATGCATATATATACATTGATTTTTTTTTCCCCTCGCTCCCCACAATATTCTAATTAGGTGAGGTCTGCTGGTCTCAGCTGCCTTTACAGTTGACTTCATTGTCAGTTCTCAGATGGCCAATAGGGGTAATTTTGCATGGGTGACTGATTTCTTTCTTTCCATAATGTGCCCAGTTTCTACAGGCTTTGCTTTCTGCACACTGCTATATTTCACTGGTTTGTCTCTAAACCAGCCATATTTAAGGTATATTTGATTTGCATTACGGTTTTTTCTTTCATTTTCTTTAATAATTTGTGCTTTAAATTTTTTTTTTTGGGGGGGGTATCATGAGCAGCACATTTAATTATAATAACAGAAACGTTCAACAAATACGTCTGTTTGGATGTTATTCTATCTGGATCCAAGTAAAGCATTGCCATTCCAGTAATGTGGCAGAATTCAAGTTAACGAAGGAGAAATTTTTTACTTAAAAAACTACAGCTGTATGTTGGAAAATTGCACAAAATTTATGTCTAAAATATTTATGTTATGTAATGGTGTTTTATGAGGTTCAGGTTTTCTGGCTACAAATCCTGATGCAGTGTTGAAACTTACCTTAATTTATGTAAAGATTGTCAAAATGGCAATGAGAAAATTGAAAACATATTAGTGGTTTGTGACATCTTCCTAATGTTGCTGTTAGAGCACTAATTGGAGGCTATTTTTGCTGCTGTTAGTTTTTCATGTTCACAGGATACGAGGTCTGATCTAAAGTACACAAACACAGAATTTCCCTGTGGACATGAGTAGACTTTGGAATAGGTCCATGTTTGGTTTCCTGGAGTCCAGGACCACAAACATTCTTACAGAATACATAAATATTGGTCCTACAAAAGAGAAAACTGAGGCAATGCGTTGTGACTTGCAAAATATGTAGCAACTATGCAAGCACAGGAGGACTGAGTTTTATCATTAAAATGGATAGGTCCTCCCCAGGTAGAGAGCATATTAAGGGGGAAGAAAGCCACTATAGTTTTCAGACAGAACTTAAGACAAAAGAATATTTCCCTGTAAAGCTGTGAGGCTTATACAGTGCTAGTGTAATATGTGATTAATATATCTAATTGGTTTTAAATTCTAGGTCAGATAAATCAGTACTTCAGTGTCTAATTGTTCATGAACAATCTTTTTCCTGCTTTTTTTGTAAATGATCTTAATAGTATCTATAAGCAGAGATTTTTGAGATATTTATTTTGAATCAAAACAATACTTTTTCATTATTACACACTTCTGCAGCTCTGGCTAGACATGTAACAAAAAGCACTTAATGAAGGCGGGTGCTGCTGTAATATTTCTAGATTCTCTGAGTAGAAATAAGAAATACTGAAAGTTTAAAAGAAAACTACTTTGAAAAATTTTCAGAACAATTTTTTTGGTTGTTCAGTCCAGCAGCTGAATTTTTTGAATACTTTCCAAACCAAAAACTTTCTCAGAATCCTTTTTTTTTACAATGTATGCAAATCACAAGATAATGGTGACAAGATAATGGAGAGTCTTTTTTCCCCCTTCTTGAGAATTCATTGAGAAACCCAGCTTCTGTCCATGAGGAAATCGGATACATATCTTCAGTAAGAACCTTTTTCAATACCTCATACATTTATTTAATGCAAGTCTGCTTTATATCATCTGGGTGCCAAATTCTACCTGCATAATGTAATATAATTATTAAGTATCTCACATAATCAGGATGTCTACAAGTTTGCTCAGAAAGCAAGAAATATGTTTCTGGAATTTAACATTTCTCCAGTCAGCGTCTGCTTTATTCAGATTTGGTAAAATATAGTACTTAAAAAAAATCATTTTGCTGATGCTTTTTTACAGATGCAACTTATGTTAAACAATGTATCTGATATATATATCAAAATAGATATCAATATGTTTAATATGTGGGCTTTTAAGATTGTGCATAATCAAAGACTAAATAAGCAGAATATAGTTAGTGTACATTTTACTGTCAGTTTTCATCATCTTGGAGGCATACAGCTGTCTTCTGCCACAAATGACATATTCCCTCTTCCCTTAGCTCACTGCTGAGGGGTGATTGCCTCTGCTCAGATCCTATTTTTATTTGACCTGAAGCCAATTGCATATATTCTCTCAGACAAAACTGGACCTGGCATGACTTCTCTTCTTTAAAGCTGCCCTGTTGGAATGATTGATATTTGCCAATGACTGTCATACTGAAAATTAAGTCCTGTTCTTGCTTGATTTTTATATTGGTTTCTCAAATTTAGTGTTGGATTATAAATTAGACATTTTGATAATTTGAAAATGAAAGCAAATGAATGTTGGAATCAGCCTCGCAGGCTGGGAGAAATCTCAGTTTGTTCTTTGGAGATGTACTCATTCTTAGACAAAGTTCAAGGTCTTTGATATAACTGCTGTAAAATATGTAGGTCTTGCTGTGATTTTCCCACTCTCAGTTTTGGTTTTCAAAACGATCAGAAATAGAACAGAGGATGAAAGCCTATCAGCCAAACCAGCACAGTCCAACTTCATATTTTTAAGTCTGATTATAAGAAGCCTTTAGCTCCAGAAGCCTTGCTTGTCCAGCACTTATAATGTCCCTTGAGCAGTAGAAATGCTAATTAATGTTCACAGAGTTAAAACTCTTTAGCTTAATGGAGACACTTCTTTTTATTTTTGCTTTACTTCTGCTCTTCCAAACAGACCGAGTTTTCCTTTCACATTGAAATAAATGTAGGCCAAAACCCAGCTGACGTGATGATACCAATTTAGCTGAGTATACAGACTAAAACAGTGTAGTCAGTGTAGCATTAGATAATAGTTAAGATTGTGCTTTAAGTTGAAATGCTCCTTCAGTGAAGACAAGCCCTAAGAGAAAGACTTCAGAGAGCATAGGAAGCTTACTAGGGCAGAGACTAATATGAATGAAATTAACTGAAAGGAAAATGTCAGCTGTCAAGCCTCCTAGCTTGAGCTGCAATATACTGTAAAATAAATTTCCAAAAGAAATTGCAGAAGTAATGTTTTAGCCAGAAAATGTAAGACTGCATAAATAGCTTGTTAATTGATGGTCTTTGCAGTATATGTGTCTTTTAGTATAAATACTGTAATGTTCCTGCATGCGTTGCATGGGTCTGTAGATGATTGCTGCATGCAAATTCATAATGTTGTGGTCTTGCAAGTCAAAGCTGTGTTCAATCTCTTTCCCACGCAGGGAGAGTGACTCTTAGCAGCCATTATAACACTGTGCCAAGTCTACTATTTATAACTGGCCTTTTCGTGAGTTGCAACACTATTGCCCTAGAGTTCATTAGCTTTAAATTACATTTATTATAAAAGAAACTATATAAATTAATTTTGTCTTGTCCTTTCCAATGGATGTTTTCTGATCATTGTGTGTGAGAAATAAATCAACATCCATAGAAAATGGCTTTTGGAAGCAAGATTTGATATAGTGATTTGAATTTTTGTTAGTGATGGCTGAATTGTAATTATAGTTTAGAGTGTTTCCCATTAAAATTGCTAACAACAGAATCACCGAACATGCTTTCAAATTACTGTATGTGTTGGCTGAAAACTGTTGACTTCACATGTATATTACATTCTTTTATCACCAAACAATGTGTATATGCTATCAAAAGTAAAATTTCAGCATTTTAAGAACTTGTTTAGACACTTCTAAACATGCGTCCATGCTTATGCAGATATGATAATCATTACTTTTTTCAGCACATTTTAATTTTAAGTGAAATCATAATATAAATTAATGTACTAAAATATATTTACATTATATGTATTTAGTAATTGTTATAAACATTTATGTCATAAGTCTGTTCATTGTTGCATGCACACTAAAACCTCCTCTACTTTACAAATGACATGCCTACTTCTGTTGCCCCCCTCCCACTGTCACCTCAAACCTTACCATAATGGTAGGAATTTGAAATCCATGTAGAAGAATAAGAAAGATGACTGCACTTGATGTGCCATTTGTATACTATTGTTTTAAAGAAGAAATTATTGTAGTGTACATAACACGATATATTTTTAAAGGAGATATTCTTTGCACATTTTATCTTTGGAGCAATAAGAAATTGTGTCTTTCAAGCTCCTGAACAACCTTTCTCTTTTTTATAAAAAAATATACTGTTAGGAAAGAAAGTATTTTACATTTACAGGTTGTCTGTTTATAAAACTTTTTTTTTAAGTCCTAGGCCACCAATTCCTCTGTCTCTTCTTCTATCAGAAGAAGAAGCAAGCATAGTAATTCAGTCCTTCTGGAGAGGTTATCGGGTAAGAGTAATCTATAATTATTTTGCTTGATGTTGAAAACCGTAGGACTGTGAAGGCCCCAGGGAAAATCCTTACATAAATTTTAAGTAGGGGATACTATAAATAGCTGCTAAGACCCCCATGGTTCATTGGCTTTGGATGTTGCTCTGCCTTATGCCTAGTGACTACAATTTTTTCACAGGCATTTACGCTGATGTAATCTCACTGTTTTCCTCAACAACAGAAAATATGCTGAAATTCAATTTTCAAATGTACAAGTAATGCTGAACAATTTTAATTTTGTTTTAGTTGATCTTTGGCTAGTTGCTAAAGGATGAAGTGTTATTTTGCTTCATGCAGGGATGTTTGAGTGTGTGTGGAGAAGCACAAGGAGAAACCGTCAGGTCTGTTAAGAAATAAAAGCATAGAGAAACAAAGGACAAAAAAATGAGACCAAGAACGAGACAGGAGATGTAGGAGAGGCATGAAGGCTGTTAATCAAGGAAAGGGAAAACAAAATGGCAAGCAGGTGTTGCAAGCCATACTAATAACACAACACCAACACAATCCCCAATTTAAGGGGGAAAAGCAAGGCGCATAAAATAAATACAAAGAAAATCGGCCAATACAAATATTTTGGAGAGTAACAGCCATGCTAACCCTAGGGTATGAAATACATTATTTTGAAAATCCTGGACAGATTCTGTCAAATATTTCTTTGAAAGGCTCTAACACCTTAATGCCTCAGAAAGAAATGGACTTGAAATGCAGGTGACTTTGGTGACAAAGAAATGTCTTTGACTGCCTTTATCAAAAATTAAGCTTGTAAATAGCCTCCAGATACAGCAATAATTTGTTGTGATGGACAGTGAGACATCTCTATCTGTACGTCAGGTGTTCTTCAAATAAAAATCAGTATAAAACACTCTCTGTTAAGTTCTAATTTACTACTTTTAACAAGCATGAATATATGAGTGGGTACTATAATGTGCCGTGCAACCAAACATGATGAAATACCTTGAAATGATCTTCTTGACTGATAGATTTTTGTGACGCTTTCTGCTTGTTCGTTTTCGTTTATTTTTCTTTTTTTAAACAGAGATGGCATTGACACTAACATTAATTAGCACTGACAATATCACTGCAGGCATCCTTACAGCGGAGTATTGCAAAGGCAACCATTATCCCATAACAGTTATGTTTGCTGTACAGTGCAAGGTTGCTCAGATACCTTGTGTTTCTACCAAAGCTGCTGAAGGGGACTGTCCTTTCTTGCTACATATATTAACTTCAGAATTTTCACAGTAGTGTTGAGAATGATAAATACTATCATGTTAATGATAAATGAGAGAGCTGCTGAAGGGGACTGTCCTTTCTTGCTACATATATTAACTTCAGAATTTTCACAGTAGTATTTATCATTCTCAACCAGTTCCCAAAAATGAGAGAGAAACTGTACCTGTAAAAAGTAGGAGACATCAAAAGTAATTCAGACTATAAAATTAGGTGTAACATGTTTTAGCTTATTAGAGCTGAAAGAACTTGGGTTTCTAAAAATTAAAATCTAAATTAAAATTAGAATATAAAAGAAAAATCATTAGTAACAAGTTACTACATAGGGCAATGTGTTATCCTTGGGCTTGTAAATTAAGAGAACACTAAGCTTAAATGGGATTTCATGGCATTAATGATATATTATATTATGAAAATTTACTAAAGAATTCAGATGATTTGCTTTTAAAATAAGTAGCTCTGTCAGCTAACACTGATTTATTGTGGTAATAACTGAACACTTACAAATAATGTCCTTTTGCATTCTAAGGATATTATTATGTCAGTATTTTAAACTTTTTTCTGATGTTTTTCATTAAACCTTGTTATTCAAAGAATTTGGAACTTTTGCACACTATTATTGACATAAAAATTTACACATTGTGATAACATTGAATAATTAAACACGAGCACACGTATATATTTTACATGGCACTATGATAAAGGAACAGTATACTTCATCATTGGTCTTCTCAAGATACACTTTAAAGGACATAAAATCACGTGTCATAGGTACTTGTTTGAAAGATGGATGGAGAAGGATTCTGGACACACTGTTGGATTCCAGAAAAAGTAAAAGGCTTAGAAATCTGGGCAGGATAGTTTTGTCTTTAACAATGCTATCCCAAATGTGAACCTTTAAGTTTTTTATTCTTAAACAATGTCACATAAATTGTGAGAAACCACAGCACGTTATTTTTCTCATGCATGTCTTCTATGGACTCAGACCATTTTTGAGGTATTTCGTTAACCATATTGATCTAGGCAGCAGAGTTTATCTAGTTATATCACTAACTGAGCATCGTGTCTTCTCATGAGACTTCACTTGTTTCTGCCACATCTAGCTATCTGAGTGGCAATCCGTAAAAATGGATCAGGCAGTAAAGATTTTTCTATGCAAAGGGAAAAACAAGCTATAGGTACAGAATATTGAGAGCTTTTTGATAATAAAGCATGATCAAAACAGTACATTCATCCTTATCTGAAGCAAATTCCAGAAAAATACTTGTTTTGGTAGTAATAATTAATAGCTGCTATCAACAAAGTCCTTGCTACAATCTTTCATACAAAGACATTGGTGAGTACTCTGAAAATTATTTCAAGTTTAATCCAGAATTAAATTCCAGAACAAACAGCAGTGGAAACTACAGCTGCTGAGTACTCGAAGGAGATCAGAAAGGAAGATGTCATCTTGAGGGGCTCTCTTTGAGAGCAAAGAGGAGCACCCAAATAAGACTTGAGACAGCTCTGTCATTAGCATTCTTTCTCTTCGCTTCTCACCGACCTCTTTTATTGGGGTTCCATTCATCTGTCATGAGTCAAGGCAGTATTCAGTATCTCATGAAAACCCGTGGTTGATAGTTATCAATTTTCCAGGTGCTTTTCCAATAAAAGGTAGTATATTCCTTCACCCCTCTACTGCAGAGTCTGCGCTTAGTGCCATTGTTTTATGAGGTCTTTTTAATCTTTACAATTTGCATAACTATTCTAGACTGAAGGGATTTTTCACTCACACCTTTTCCTCTAATGCCTCTGGTCGAAGCTTTAGTGTTATCCTTCTGCTGTTGTGCAACATGTTCTCACTTAGCATTGAAAGCAGTTTATTTTGACTAAATCTTGTAATATCATGGAGTTTAAATTGGACAGCATGATGTAAATATTCAGTGCTATTTTATGCATAAATATTGTTTGAGCAAAAGTTAAATCAGAATTGAAGCAAGTTTATCTTTGTATCTTACAGAGTGTTGTTGTGCTTTTGCTGTCACAATTTATATTCCTTTCCAGAAAGTTGTGGCTACTAGCAAAGGCTCAGACCCAGAAGGTCACATCAATATTCACTGTTATTCACAGCAAGTGTAGATTCAATCCAAATGACTGGGCTAAGAGTGAGCTCTCACTTCAAAGACCCCTTCAGTGCTTCATCCATTGCTGGTCTGCAGGAGAGACATGTCAGTTGTTTGGACAAGTTTCTTGACTCTTTGATTATTTGCCTGGAGATTTTGCTGCTGAGTCACGGCTCTTTAATCATAGTAGAATTGCACTCTGATTACAAAATTTACTACCTTCTGAGAAGTTATCACTACTATGCAAAATTATTATCTATTAAGCATATTTGGAACTTGTAGTTAGTATTTTGTTAAGTTCCTGTTATCTGTTTTACTGCAGGTGGTGTATCTGTGTTCCTTTTTATTTTCTTTCACTTTTCTGAAAAATCACTTTGTTCTGGGAGCTCATGTTAACTGCTTGGATTTAATGTTGGACTATTTGTGTCTATCTCACTATTCCTTTATCTCAAAACCCTGTATTTTGCTACGTATTTCACTATACTTTCACTGTTTTATTTATCTAGGGAGAGTATACAGAATCGATTATACTTGCCTTTTATCTTTTACCTGTTAAGAGTTATTGTCTTCATTTTCAGTGTACAGAGATCACTGTGGCTCTGTCATGGCCCAAAATACAGATCTTACATAGCTGCAGTTGTAAATGGACAATTCATTTTTTCAAAAATTTCATGTTTAGACAGGCGTAGTAATTTCTCTGTCTTCCTGCCTCTTTTCTGTTACTGTCATTTATATGTCCCATAAGCATTTCCTTAACCCTTTCCTGTACAGATCAACTGACTCCATGTAATAGGGAATTATGGGTTTCATAAAAACATACATGACAGTATAAAAGAAAAAAAATGTCTCTTGTAAGCCTAAAGAAACTGTCCCATGTTTGGGATTATATTTTATTTTTGAAAATAGTATTTGATGAATTGAATAGAAAATGGTTTTGATTTTTTTGTATAAAAGAAATCACTAGTAACAGTAGTGATTTTTTTTTAATTTTTAAAATTTCATATCAACCTTGTAAGAGCTTCTTATAGCTTTTACAGAAGATAGTACAAAACTATATTAGTATAATGGGGTATTATTAGAGGCCTAAGAGGTATCCGATGTAAAGTCACTGAGTAAAAGTCTTGTCTGTCTTTATTGATCATGTAACCTTGTATTGTATTTCTGCTCTGCCAGTGCATTATCTGAAATATAGCAAGTTATCTTCTCCTAAGTGGATTGAAAAGTACTGTGGGAGTTCAGCTACTGTCTATCGCATTCTTCGCTGCACCACAAAGGAGAAATTCTGGGTGGAGAGAATACTTTTGATGAATACTTTTGTTTTCTTTAAGTGTGGTTTGGTTTGGTTTGGTTTGTAACTAGTGGAAAACTAAGTCCTGCTCTTTTGCTCGGTATGTATCTGAGGAAAGTGGGCGAAAAGCAGAGAGTAATGGAGCAGAGTAATAGAGTTCCAATCACAGAGCAAACTCATCACCGTATCATCTAAGAATAAAATAAATAAAAGAAATTTTCTAGAAAACGAAGTAGTTGGCTTCTTGAAAGCAAAAATGTGTCCAGGAGAAACCAAGCTTATTGCTGCTTGTTCCTACCATGTTTTTCAATTTCAGCCTGAATTACTGGGACATTAAGTCCTAAAACATCATGACATTTTCTATATGTAACATTTAGAAAAAGCAGAAACCGCATTTTTAATAATTATAATTTGAATATGAATCTAAGAGAATCACTTACCAATGTCTAAGCTAATACTTAGTATGTCCCCTTCCCACTATTGTCAGAAGGATGGTATCTATTCTGGATTTTTGCTCTAGCACTGGAGGTAGTGATTGTGTGAATGCCAAGGTAGACAACTGGCAACACACTGCTAATTAATCAAATCCTGCTTAGAATAAGTATAAGTAGCAGAGTGGTAAAAGCTGTTGATGCAAAGCTAGCTCTTTCTTATATTAGTAGGACCTACACCAGTACAAAAGAAATAATAGAAGAATTCAACTTAAATCTTAAATGGAGTCAAGGCCTGTAACTATTGCCATTTCATGTGGAAGCAGAATTATGCCCTTCGTAGGGGTGATTGACTGACAAAGAATAGATATCGTGTAATGCATTCCAATTACTTTAAATAACAGATTAATGGCTCCCCTGTTTGTGAAAATTGTACAGCTGGGATTGTCAGTAAGCTTATTTGGAGCTGACAGCAGGTGTGAATCAGTTTGCTGGAATAAATTTCCTGCTGTATGACCCTTGATGCTCCTCTTCTGCTCTATTATGTTGGTCAGTGTGTTGGTTTTATAGTGTTGTGGTTTTCTAAAGGCACTAATACCCTTCAGCATAATGCTTTAAATTTTGATTAACTCAAAGAATAAGTGTCTCACTGCAATCACATTCTCAGGAGTCCTTGGTAATCAAAATGATCCCCTAATTGGCGTATTTAAGTTTTCAATGGGGTTTGGCAATTATGTGGGGTTTATTTCTGTGTAAAATGAAAACTGTAAACCTCTGGGATTGTGCTTTTATATCAGACCCAGCAAAAAGGATGGATGCCACGTATTTGGCCCCCATTAAAAAAATTGTATCATCTTGGGTAACATGAACATATATAATTTTAGTTGCATTTTCTGTTTTCCCTTTTCCAGGTCCGCTGTGATAGTGGGATACAAGAGCTACGTCAGTGGCAAAAGCAGTTGAGAGAGGACAAAAACATTATTAAGAGAGTGAAAGAATTCTGGACTAAGCAGGAAGCCAAAGGTAAGTGAATTAAATTGTGTATTTTAATTATTTTTTTTTTTTTTTTACATTGTGTTGAATTTTTATACTTTGAGTTGTATTAAAAAATAGGACACATGGTAGGACACTAATCCCAAGTGAGAAGAGAAAGTAATGTCTAATGGAAATGCCTGGCTGTTTCTTTATAGTCACTACGTACTCTAAGTTAGTTGCCTGTAGAGCTGAAAGTGGCAATGAAATGTACAATACAGGGCCAATAATTTCAGAGGACTATGACAGTGTGCTGGCACAGTATTTCCTAGGGCAGAATCCGACTTCTACCAGCTACACAACATGTAAATACTGATTTTTACTAGATGGGTTGTAGTACAATTTTTCTAAACTGTGGGATTTCTATCTGGTAAACGTTCTACTGGCATCTTCCTGTCGTTATTTATAGCAGAAGTTGGCCTGTACAGTTCTAAAAAAAGAAAACAAACCCAAACAACCCAATATAGTTGCCAAGGGAAATGAGGCCAAATTAAGAACTGACACTGTAATATGTTTCCTTTTTGCCCTGATTGTGGATAAGCCGTTATTGACAGGGCCAAAGTTATCATTCACTTACTCAGGCATAGTGGTATAATTATGATTATCCGCCCAGCCTCTTTGTAGCTAACGCAGGAGCATTCACTAGCTCCTCAACCAGCCTGTATTTTATCAGCCTCTGTGGGCTGAACTCAAATGTGATACACGGAGGGGTGAGAATTACACATCAATAGATGGAGGTGAGAAGACGTCGTTCAGCTATGTTGTTCATGTTGAAGAGAGGGAAAATTATGTTGTACCAGTCACCATTGTGTGGTCCTTCAGTCTGATGGCACTGTCGCAGATGTGTTCTCCGATGGCCTATCTTTGCCCAGAACTACGTAAGAGCATTCAGGGTGCAGTTTCACACAGTCAATTGGATCGAACTGAAAGCTGCCGAAAGGGTTGATCCCACTCTGTAGCTCTTGCATCAGCTTTAGGGACTGTGTAACTGCACCATGGGTTTGGATCAGTGAGGGGTTTTGGTATGGGACAGGTTAGTTTTCCACAATGTTGTTGCCGCATGATTGCTGTATCTAACACAAAGGAGAAAGTGAACTGAGGAAAGAGAGGTAATGACTTTCAGCAGCCCACAGCTTGGTTAAATTGAGCAGAATATGAGATGGTATTCTCATACCTGGTTACTGTTCATGGCTGAGGAAATGCAAATCTCCAGTTGATTGGCAGGAGTTAAAAGCCAGGAGCAAGTCATGGCTTAGACCTCTTCAGCTCAGTATACAAAAGCACATCTGTCAATGCCCTCATTCTGAGCCTGGTTTTCATGGGACTTTGCTGGGAAAGGAAAGGCTTATATTTGAGTCTCTGCAGGGTGAGAGAGTTTAGAATCAGGTTTCTGTGAAAGGTTTTAAAATGCCAAGTCTTGGTCAGTTACGTAACTACTATCCAGAAAAATCTACAACTCAGGATTTCAAGTGACAGAAAATTGCTGATGTGCAATCTGGAATTAGGCAGCTTAATAGGAGGCCTCTGTCCTTTGTGTTGCCCAATAACCTAGGCAACTTTTCACTCAGCATTGAGTATTTGTGCTGCCTCTATAGACCATGCCATTGTTTCATTGGTTTACCTTCAAGTGCCTGATTTCTACACATTTAAAGTCTAAACTGAGACATTGAATATGTCCTGCTGGGTCTTCACTCAAATGTTTTTTGCTTTCCTTATTCTCAATGCAACTTAACTGTTCTTTTTAATTAAATGGATTTATTGTACTCATGCACAGATATGAAATAGGGTGTTCTGGAATTAAGTGTTTGACATCCTCACAGTATGCTTTATTTTAGAAACTACAGTAAGACTATCCATACATAAAGAGTACTTATTAACATCACTGCTGTAGCAGTCGGAGCTTGCTTTAAGTGACTAGAGCCTTGCAATTCTTCAATAACTCTAGTCGTCAAATCTTTTGTGGCTATTGTTAATTTCAAAACCATCCTGCTTTTTAATAGATGATACAACTAAAACTTCCCAGTGAAACATTTTAATTATAAAATAGTCCATGTCTGTAAATGTCAAAGGAATTAACAGCAGTCAGGTCATTAACCTGATGCACTGCAATTATTCTTTCACTTTTTATTGTGCATCCATTCTATCTATCATTACTTACAAGTAGATCAGGCTAGAAGGATGGCGTGAAAGTTCCACATATTTCCCTTTCTGCTTGCAATCTTCTTTTGAAATTTTTGCCTAAAGGTGAAAGGAGTTTCTCATATGTGAAAGGAGAAATCTGTTACTAGTAAGGGTCATTATAACAACTGGGATTACAAAATAGCCCCTTGTTTTCAGCTTTCCTTATTTTGATGTTTTTTTCTTCACACAAAATAAATGTAATAGGCACTTGGGGCTAATAATAACATTTTAAACAAATGCTAGATGTTTTTCTTGTGTGAAATCCCAGCCCTTCCAGATGGGCTACTTTTTATAATACCTGCAAAGACAAAGTTATAAATTGATAAATTCTCTGTGTTTTCAAGCTCCCCCACTGGCAAATCTTTGATTCCCTAAACTTCGTTTCTATCATTTCCTATTTGTACTTGCATATCTGTTGGATAGCATTAATTTTTAGGACATCTACTCAGGGTAATGTTGCAGTTACACTGTGTTCAGTTTGCTGTCAAGCCTTCTGAAGTGTATGCAGAACACCAACTAATTCTGCAACCAGAATTGGATAAGTAGGTATTTCAAATGGATATTTTCTAATGAACACAGTGTAATAGTTATAGTATAAATCTTTCCAATAAATATATTAATACATGGTGCTATTGTAACACAATTTCTCTTCTATTGTGTGAAGTGGAACAGTATTTAAACCCACTCTAACACAACAGCTGTGCCGCAAACTCCAGGCAGTACTGGGAGCAAACATTTTAAATTGTTGCTCTGGATTTCTGAAGTAACCCACATGTTGTCACATAACATGAAGTGAATCAGTGGCAAGTCTCATCCTCTAGGACAGCGTTCACTGTTAAAAAACTGCCTCTGTGTGCCTCCTCCTTTAATCCTCTGCACTGCTCACCTGCCAGTCTTCATGGTGGTACAAGCTGGCACCACAGTGTGGTTTAATGTTTGTGATTGAGAGAATCGTGTTTGACTACTGCATCCACCGTGTTCCCTAGGGCCTGGACAACCTCAGCAACTCCTCCTGGCCGACCTATGCTAGACAAAGCTCTTGCACAGAGGGAGGTCTGTCTCCATTTTGCTGCTTTCCCTGTGATGAGAGATGGTGACTGCAGTAGCAGCTACTGGGTAGTTCTGTGGTTTGCAAGTTTGCAAGTACAAGCAAAAGCATTTTCTTGTTGGAGGTACTTTTCCTGCCTGAACAGCCATTCTTAGTGTTCTCCAGGGAAAATGTGTGAGCTGGATTGAAGCTCCTACCAGCTAGCTTCAGCTGCATCGTGCTATTTAATGGAAAGTGCCCAGTAAAATCTGCTGGCATTATAATATTGCATGATTTATACTGTATGTAGTATACCCTGAGTTCATTAGAAAATATCCAGTGGAGAAATCTACTTTTCCAACTTGAATTGCAGAATTAGTTGATATTCTGTGTATGCTTCAAAATGCTTGACATTCTTCCAATGTTCCTTCCCAGTGTTAGCAGTTCTGGTCATAAAGAGCCTGCGTTGATACCGGTACTGATACCAATACAAATAGCAATAGATTTCTTTGAGTAGATATTTAGATACACTGAGAGGCAGGCTTATAATTAACAAAGACAGTAATGAATGGCAACCTCAAAAGCAGTTCTGCATGTCTACACCAACAGCAGAACCACAATGAAAGCTGTTCCTGCACGTTGTATTTCAGCTGTGAAGTCTTAAGTGTGAATTCAGTCTACAGAATTCTCAGGGTAGAATTTTTTAAATCACAAAGTTAATTATCAGCTGATATCAAAGCTGTCATAAAAGAGTAATTTTTCAAAGGACATTATTTTCAAAATCTTCCTTTATGTATCATGGCCTCCTCAGTTATCTTGCTATTACAGTATTATATATTGCAAGGTGTTCTGAGCTGACATGCTTTTCTATGTCTGCACTGTGCTATGTGTAGAACCTTTTGACCACTGCTTCACTTAATTATGAAATGTTCAGAACAAGAAGAATTTTCTTCAGGGCAGTATGCATTATAGTACAAATGCAAAAACTGGAAGACTGTCACGACTTTTTTTTTTGTGTGTGATAACAGTTTGTTACAAGGGCTGCATAGATTTTCCAAACATTTATTCATATTTATATTGCAGTTTTAATCCACAAAAGATCAGGTTTTATTCACCAACCCATGCAATTGCCTAAGAGATATTTTATAGCCAAAAAGAATTCTTTCTGAGGAGCAAAATCATACATCACAACAGGGAAAAACTCCATTTATATGTGTGTATATGTACAGGGTGTTCATATGCAGTAAGTGAAGTAGAATTCTTGGCTTTAGTAGCTTAGAGCTAGAAGATTAAACAAAGTAGTAACTAGTAACAGTGTACAAAAATGATGAAAAATAAAATCCATGAAACATAAGTTGTCTTCCAGCAGACTTGACTGATACTTGCAGAAAACTTTGGCAGACCAACCAAGGTTTTCTTTAAGTCTTTGTGGGATTTCATAGCCTATTTACTATGGTATATTAAGAGTTTACTTTGGAAAAAAAAAGTAGGCGCTTTTTTTTTTAAGAAGACATAAATAGATCTGGTTTTGAAGATCTGAAAACAGTGGATTCACATTTACTATGATAAAATTAATCTCATTATACATTTAAAAAATAAAAGCCAAATTCTTTTCTTTGTAATACATATTTAATTCTGTCAGTGTTAATTGTTGAAAAATTGCATTCCTGAAGGTGATGATAGAGGTTGACCTAGCAGGCTTGCTAATTCTTTTTAAATGATTGCAGTTTAATGTTTGTGTTATGGACTTACAAACTGACTTGCTCAGTAATGACACAATCCTTACATCCAATATAAGGGAAATTGTGCAACAGTAATAGAGGGAAGGACAACTGTCCATTTGTGATGGCCGCTCACTTTTAGATCAGCTAATCTGTCCTGTGCCTGTTTTCAATTTGTTAGCATTTACATCATCTCATCAAGGCATGTTTTTTCACGTTCCATTGTCCATGATACCAGTAAGAGTTAAAATGCATATGTTTCCCACTTACTTCTAAGAAATAAACCTATACATTTACAACATACCACTGTGAAAAAGGATGTATATATTAGATGATTATACAAACATAGTTTACAGTCTTCATGCATGTAAAATCTTAAAGGTGAAAATTACAAGTGCAATTTCAGAGGACAAGATAAACCATTTTCAAAATGTTGCAACTGAGAAAAGTAGGGGCTAAGGGTGGAGTGGACTGTGTCATTTGGCAGTTGAATTGATTCAAAAACCTTTTATCTCTGAAGAAATTTAATCATTCCATAAACTCTATTTATGTTGTTTTGGAGAGTAATATAGTGATAAGATTTCCTTTGCCCTCTTTGCCAATTGTTTCAAAAGGAAAAACAGATTTCCTTTTAATCACTGTCATAGAGCTTTCCTGTCATCAAATTAATTATTTTAGGACTCTAGGACACACAGCTGTTTCACCACTTCAAAGAAACTTGTAAAATTGCCCCTTTTCAATTTTTATCTTAAACCAGTGCAAGTCCGTATTGCTTATATCACATTAGCTTTCAATATTATCACATTGTTTCTGTAATTCCTTAACTGAGCTCTGCGGAGTTAATTTAAAAGTATCCATACATGAAATAGCCTTGGGGCCCAGACAGATGGCTATTTGGAAACAGCTGTACTAGGTTGAGAAGTTACTGTCCAAGGGTTTTAATTATCAATGAAATTATGGCTGTGAAGCCATAATTGATTTTGTTAGTGCTCCAGCTGCTCTTATTTCTGCTATTAT